TATTGCCACAATAGAATCACCGAATCACTTGAAAGACAATCAACGCCAAGTGATCTGAGACGCTTACACATTGTTTGGTCAATCACTTCCACATTATGCCTCCGCATGTGTTAATTTAACTGAGTTTTGCTCAGTTAACATTCGTCTAGCCACAGAAAACATACTACTATAACCCAGAATGCCAACCGCGTGGTAAAAAGCATTAAGTGTTTATGGTATTTTGAGAGAGCTTTGCCTGTAGATCGTAGGCAGCGCCACCAGCGTTGCTATGCTGAGTGCATGGCAACGCTGGTGGTGCTGCCTACGATTGACATGCAAAGCTCTCTCAAAACACTTAATGCTTTTTACCACGCGGTTGGCATTCTGGGTTATAGTAGTACGTTTTCTGTGGTCTAGCTTAAGTTCTTCATTTTAGTAGATGAAGGTGAGACGAGATGTACTTCTTAAAAGAAAAGTTAACATTATTTTCAATAAAGACTACAGAATTCAATATTTATTAAGTATACTCGGTGTTTTTCATTTATGAGGAATGTGGTTTCATTTGTTTCTTGCTTAGTGTAACGAGGCAAATTGCTGCAAGACTACAACAACATCAACAACTAACTTGGAAAAAACACTCAATTTGACTCGTATAAGTATTCATAAAGATCCCCCCTTACATGAATTAAATTTTGAGTTAGAACCCACCGGGAATTTTATAAAGTAGTTTTTCATTGAGTTTTTTGTTTATTTTAAAACTTTTTTACTGAATAACTCTAATAAAAATTTTACAAACATAATACAGTATGGGTAACGCATTTACTATTTAGTTATGACGAAAGTTGTAAAAATTTGGTGAACCAGTTGGAAATAAAATAGTAGATGGACTTAGCCACGATCAATTTAAAACAAAACTAATTGCCTTCATTAACCGTAGTTGTTCCACACCGGCCTCAGTTAGAAAGAAACATGGATTGCGGGTGAATGATTTAAAACAGCTTAATTGCTTTCACTAAACGTAATATTAATTAAAAGAACCACAGTGAAGGGGTTAGAATGGATACTTTGCAGTACTTTTCTGCACAAGACAGGTTCTAAATTGCTTCTTAAGAAAGCTGAAGTGATAACAATGTTTATATATATATTTGTATATGTTATGAATTACGTTTGGGGTAAACAATGCTAAAACGACATGTAAATGCCAAGAACATAAGTTAAAGATTGGGTTATACAATGTTTGTTCCACAACAAATGTTCAAAGTAATTAAATTTAACTTAAAGGTGGGAGAAAAACTCAAACACATTCTTTGTTGAGTATTCTTCTTACCTTTGCCCAGAACACAAAACAATATAATGTCTTGAATAATGAATCGTAATCTTTGTATACATGTGCTTGTTTATGAATAATCATTCAAAGATAACTATATGATACATAGCATATATTGTTTTTTATATATGCCCCTTTTCATATATCCCTTTTTCCCATTTTCCATCAATGGATTTAAAAAATGGCATTTTGGATTAAAAACAATTTAAAGAAAAGTGGTCTAAACAAAGTTTATGGATTACCAGGGCTAGAACCCGTACCTGCACTAGGCTAGCAACCTGCATACAAATAATAAATTTCTAAACACACACACACACACAATGACACATTGACTAACACACGCTATGAATGAATGTAAATTATCAAACAAATATAAGGAACCCAAAGATGTGTCATTAGAGCCATCTGGCTTTCCATAAAATTACTGTAATACAAGTAATAACTCGACATAAGTATTACAAAAAACAAATAGTAAACGAAAATGTTATTAGTTGAACTTGAAATGAGAATATTTAGCTATAAAATGCATAAATACTGGGTTTAAAAGAATGCTTGGTTGGTTGTTTCCAGATGAGTTGAAAGGTTTATTGTGCAGAAGTTTGGCTGCGGCGTTTCTTGTAAACGATTATTTTTTATCTCTTTTTAAAGAAAACAATTCCATAATTCCTAACAATTGTGATAACATCTATTTTTATTTTTTAATTTTACTTTCTTTTTCTAAAATATTAGTTTGCAGAAAAAGAATGCACAGCTTTATTTGGTAAAATTTGTTTCAAACACAACTTGGAAATTTGTTGTGTGATAAGCCATGGCTTAACATAAAATGTAATGTGCCTAGTTATAAAATCTATTTAAAATATGTTATGTGTAATAATATATGTTACTTTAATTTATTTTTCATTAAATCTGTAAAAATAAAATAATAAAGAAGACACTTAGGCCTAAATCTTAATTGTTTTCAACTTGCCACAAAGTACGAAAAAAGTTAATTCAACTTTAGAATTAGGTGTCAACGGTTCAAAAATATGAAATTGGTTTTATAATGAAAATGGCAGGAAAACATAACTTTTTTTAAATTTTATACTTAGAAAACAACAACTTACTGTTTTAGCGGTTAGTAATAATAACTCAAGAGATTTCTAACAAAATAAATTAATCGATCTTCTAATGCATGCATATTCTTTTTTATGAACGTTTATAAAACCTTAATAATAACGATTAACTATTCTAAAGAGTAAAAAAATCCTCCGGCAAGTGTTTAAATGGATGAAAAAAACTTAAGCGTTTAAAACAAACAGTTTATTTTAGAATTAATTTTTTCCGTTTTAGAAACGTATACGACTGTTAAGTTGATTTGAGCTGTAAAACTCTGCAAAGAAGATTTCGGCAAAAGCCTCTCGATTGTTGCAATAATTCAACTGTAATTGCTGAGCTGGGGAAGATTGCCTCTCCTAAAACTTTGTTCCTTCTTAACAACTCGGAATATTTCAAGCTGAGTTTGAGGCTCACGTCGACATCTATTTAAGTGTTTTCAGATTTTGTGTTCAGTTTTTAGTTCTTTGTTTTTGTGTTCCACCTGTTAATTCGAACAGAACGATCTTGCCGCGTTTGAATTTATTTACTGTAAATCTAATCAAATTTGGGTATTTTGGGAATCTTTGTTAACAAGTTAACTTTACTATCGTTGTTAAAATTTGGTTGTAAAACATTTTAGGGAGTTACCTTCTTGAGTAGTAGCCACTGTATTGTAATTATGCTAAATTTTGGCAAGAAATGATCACGTCGGGGTCACCACTGAAGAAGTAGGTTCTTCTTTAACTATTTTTGTTACTTTTATGATAAAATTATTCAAGAAACTAAAAGAAAATAAAATCCCTTTTTCCCTCCTTTCATTCCTTTTCCCCTTCTTCCATCCCTTTTCCGTTTTTCCCTTTTTTCCATCTTCCATCCCTTTTCCCTTTTCCCATCTTTCATCAATTTTACCCTTTCTCCCTCCTTCCATCCCTTTTTCCCTCCTTCCATCCCTTTTACCCTTTTTCCATCCTTTTCCCTCCTTCCATCCCTTTTTCCCTCTTCTCCATCCCCTTTTCCCCATCTTCCATCCCTTTTCCCCTCCTTCCATCCCTTTTTCCATCCCCTTTTCCCTTTTTACTATCTTCCATCCCTTTTCCCGTCTTCCGTCACTTTTACCCTTTTAATGTCCCTTTTCCCCTCCTTTCATCTCTTATCCCTTTTTTCCCTTCTTCAATCAATTTTACCCTTTTTCCCTCCTTCCATCCCTTTTTCCCTCCTTCCATCCCTTTTCCCCTTTTCCCATCCCTTTTTCCCTTCTTCCATCCCTTTTCCCTTTTTTCCCTCCTTCCAACCCTTTTCCCCTCCTTTCATCCCTTATCCCTTTTTCCCCTTCTTCCATCAATTTTACTCTTTTTCCCTCCTTCCATCCCTTTTTCCTCCTTCCATTACTTTTTCCTTCTTCCATCCATTTTTCCTTCTTCCATCCCTTTTCCCCTTTTTTCATCCCTTTTTCCCTTTTTTCATCCCTTTTCCCCTCCTTCCATCCCTTTTTCCAACCCTTTTCCCCTACTTTCATCCCTTATCCCTTTTTCCCCTTCTTCCATCAATTTTACTCTTTTTCCCTCCTTCCATCCCTTTTCCCCTTTTTCATCCCTTTTCCCCTTTTTTCATGCCTTTTCCCCTCCTTCCATCCCTTTTTCCATCCCCTTTTCCCTTTTTACTATCTTCCATCCCTTTTTCCCGTCTTCCATCACTTTTACCCTTTTTACATCCCTTTTCCCCTCCTTTCATCCCTTTTCCCCTCCTTTCATCCCTTATCCCTTTTTTCCCTTCTTCAATCAATTTTACCCTTTTTCCCTCCTTCCATCCCCTTTTCCCTCCTTCCATCCCTTTTTCCCTCTTCTCCATCCCCTTTTCCCAATATTCCATCCCTTTTCCCCTTTTTCCATCCCTTTTCCCCTCCTTCCATCCCTTTTTCCATCCCTTTTCCCCTCCTTTCATCCCTTATCCCTTTTTTCCCTTTTACCATCAATTTTACCCTTTTCCCCTCCTTCCATCCCTTTTCCCTTTTTCCCTCCTTCCATCACTTTTACCCTTTTTCCATCCCTTTTCCCCTCCTTTCATCCCTTATCCCTTTTTTCCCTTTTACCATCAATTTTACCCTTTTTCCCTCCTTCCATCCCTTTTCCCTTCTTCCATCCCTTTTCCCTTGTTCCCTCCTTCCATCCCTTTTACCCTTTTTCCATCCCTTTTCCCCTCCTTTCATCCCTTTCCCCCTCCTTTCATCCCTTATCCCTTTTTCCCTTCTTCCATCAATTTTACCCTTTTCCCCTCCTTCCATTCCTTTTTCCCTCCTTCCATCCCTTTTTCCCTCCTTCCATCCCTTTTTACCCTGTTTCCCTCCTTCTATCCCTTTTTCCCTACTTCCATCCCTTTTTCCCTTCTTCCATCCCTTTTCCTTTTTCCCTCCTTCCATCCCTTTTTCCCTCTTCTCCATCCCCTTTTCCCCATCTTCCATCCCTTTACCCCTCCTTTAACCCCTTATCCCTTTTTCCCTTCTTCCATCAATTTTACCCTTTTCCCCTCCTTCCATCCCTTTTTCCCTTCTTCCATCCCTTTTCCTTTTTCCCCTCCTTCCATCCCTTTTTTACCCTTTTTCCCTCCTTCCATCCCTTTTTCCCTACTTCCATCCCTTTTCCCCTTCTTCCATCCCTTTTCCCCTTCTTCCATCCCTTTTCCGTTTTACCTTTTTTTCCATCTTCCATCCCTTTTCCCTTTTCCCATCTTTCATCAATTTTACCCTTTCTCCCTCCTTCCATCCCTTTTTCCTTCTTCCATCCTTCTTCCCCTCCTTCCATCCCTTTTTTACCCTTTTCCCCTCCTTCCATCCCTTTTTACCCTTTTTCCCCTCTCCCATACCTTTTACCCTTTTTCCATCCCTTTTCCCCTCCTTCCATCCCTTTTCCCTCCTTCCATCCCCTTTTCCCTTTTCCCATCTTCCATCACTTTTACCCTTTTTCATCCCTTTTTCCCTTCTTCCATCCCTTTTTCCCTTCTTCCATCCCTTTTTCCCTTCTTCCATCCCTTTTCCCTTTTTCCATCTTCCATCCCTTTCTCCCGTCTTCCATCAATTTTCCCCTTTTCCCCTACTTCCATCCCTTTTTCCCTCCTTCCATCCCTTTTTCCCTCTTTTCCATCCCCTTTTCCCTTTTCCTCATCTTCCATCCCTTTTCCGTTTTTCCCTTATCCTATCTTCCATCCCTTTTCCGTTCATAAATAAAGAAATAATAGTGCTGCACCCTGTTGATCAATCTTAAAACTGTTGATGCTTTTGCATGTCATAGAACCAACCTTTTTAGTTGAAACAGCTGACTAAATTCTTTAATTCCCTTTAAGTATGAATACTCATAAGGTTAACATAGGGAATTACAGAGCCACTGGGGCGGATCCCGAAAGGATTTTTGAGATAAGAATGTGCCTATATGTTGATCGGGAATGTGAGCTATCATTATTCCAAATTTCAGCCAAATCCGTCCAGTAGTTAATGCGTGATTGAACTTCAAACACACAAACTTTCACATTTATAATATTAGTAAGATATGATAACAGATGTCCTCTCTTTTTCAGATTTTGATTAAATTTTGTTCACAAAGATTCTAATAAATTTTTTTTTTTTGGGCTCATGATTAAGAAGGAATTATAAACTTAAAACAAATTGAAATTTTTAAAGTATATTGTATGAAGAAGGAATTTTTAAAGATTGAAATTAATATACTTTTGACGAGCAGAGCTTATTTTCAAGAATTTTAGTTAAATGATATTATGGAAAAATGAAGATTTGAAATAAAAGTTTTGTTCAATCATTTTCAAGAAGATATTATCTTTACCTGTTTTGGCACTTACACAAATGTTTACAACTTAAGACATTAAATAAATAAATTAAAAACTAGATCATGTGGGCCTTGTACGCTACAATGGCAGCGATACTTTTTTAGTCACTACATGTAACTAAATTAGTGACATTTTAATTAGCAAAGTTGTGTAACCCAAAGGTCACATTTGTACTAAAGTAGACTCTCCTTAGTTTCGTTTAGTTTAATTATATGTAATTAAATACAAGGGCTCCAAAAGTATTAATTTCCTTTATCTGACTGTACCTCCTCTAGTGAAAATTTCTGCCGTCGCTGATCATAAGAAATCTATATTTTCTACATGAGCTTTTTTCCCTCATTAGAAATATATTTTGTAAACATTCTTCATTCATAAAAGGTAGTACACTCCTGTTTCCCTTTTTATCTAGTGCAGCTAATATTATGATGCCATTGTTTTCCACAAACTATTTATGACTAAAAGAGAATAAAATTCAGTTCTGACCCACATCAAGGAGATTCTACAACCAAAATGTACCATTTTTTTTCCTCTTTATTATTCTCAAATATTGAACAGTATTTCAACCCTTTATTTATTAATTGCATTTGCTTGTAGAAAAATATAGTCTTTGTTTATCTTTGGGAAAATTTAACAGATTAGATTTTATTTTAGGGAGTTATTTGTGTCTGGTCCTTTAATTTTTAAAAGCTTTAATTAGTAATATAATTTGGCTGAGCCAGTAAAAATACAAGATTTAATGTATACAAAACTTTAAATTTATTGTCGTTCTAGTTTCGTGGGAAAATATCACATTCAAAGCAATTAAGATTACCCCAGGAAGTTGGTGATCAAGAAACTAAGTTTGTGCTGCGGCGAGCAACTTTAAATTGTATTTTTAATTTATGTTCAAGATGTTTCCTAGTCTCCTTAGTCGGTCTTTATAAAATATACTTAAACGAAATCTTACATATACTTTTTTCGGTTTAAAGTAATCCAGTTTGCAGGATTTCAACACGTATACAAAGAGCTTTTAATATAACTAAATAACCTGTTGATCTAAATAAAGCAAAACTGTAACTTGTAGTCTAATAAAAGAACGAAAACGAAAGGTATCAATATATAGTTAATGTCACAATATGTTTCCTGAATTACTTACCTACTTTCAATTATTCGACCAGCCGTTATCGAGTTATGACTGTGAAAAGAAAACTGCTTGCGTATTAATATATATATAATATTAAGAAAGCGCAATTTATTAGCACTTTCTTAAACAAATGTTCGAGTATGCTTTTTATGTTATGGGCCCAACACTAACAGCATATCCAAAAATCAAAACTACCCGACCTTTTGCACAGCAACCCCCTATTTCCATGACATTTTTTCCATCCTATAATATTTACTGGACAATTTGGAACGATGCGCTAAGTGGGCTTCATTCGGTAACAACTTAATTTAAAATATATATTGTTATACATTTTTGGAAAGCTCATAAACTAGGTAAAAAGTTTTGTTTCAAACACATTGACGTACTACCAACTGCAAAACCAGGGTTTGACCTTATCTACAATTTCATGTAAAAAAATATATATTTTTTGTTATATTACAGATATAAACCCATCTAATAGAGATAATCCTACATTTAGGGTAATTTTATTAAAGTAAATTTAGCGGGGAGTTCAAAGAAAAAGCAATTATGCTGATAGCTCGTTTACATTAAAAGATATAGGTGATTTAGTAAAACACTACACTTTCGACCTGTTGTTTGGGTGGTGGGGGGGGGGGTTTAAGGGGAAGCAAAGGGGGGAAATTCGGGGAACTTTCAGAAAACACCCTTCCTATTATATACTATCACCATGCAAAAAATCAGCTTTACATCTTTCATGTCTTGGTTGGCCTTGATTTTTAACTTAAGTTACTGGGCTATAAATTACTAGATAAAACCACGTTTAACAGCTGATTTGCGTTGGATTGTCTTCAAAATTTGGTTTGCATTGATACATTAGTGTTGTATTCTATTCTTGTTAATTTTGTACGTAAAAATAGTTTTAACATATAGGTACATTTATTAAACTACCAAAACAATCCGTGTATTACTTATTCGTGTTTTTCTACATCAGTGGCATTTTTAATGTTTGAAAAGGGAACTGTAAAAAAATGTCTTTTACAATCAATTTATAAGGTTTTAAATACGTTCGATCCGAAGTTGAAAAAATGTGGTTTTTTATAATTTTGATGACGTCACAATACGTTTCATATATTTTGTAATCTGTTTTTTTTTTTTTTTTTTTTTTTTTTTTTTTTTTTTTTTTTTTTTTTTGACGATAGGGGATTTTGGAAGTTTATATATTACAACAATGGAACCCCTATTGCTTTTATTCCATTCATACCGGATTTTGTATACGAAAATTTCAAGAAAATATTTAATGATTTCTAATGCAAAACCTATTATTCTGTACTTATTGAAAAGATATAACAAAATTAAACAAAAATAATAACAACTACCAAACTTTAAGTAAGTCAGATTTTTTTTCAATTCTTAATAAAAATTAAGTAACTATGATCTTTGAGTAAAAAAATTTTTATTTCGTTTCTAAAAACGAGATTTCAAAAATCCAAGAGAATGGATAATAGTCTCCGACGTTCAATATATTAGTAGACTAAGGTTAGAGAATCAGGCTAAGCTGTCTGGATCTTAGGGAAAATTGGATTCTTAAGTTACTCCTTTTTACTTTGTTCCTTTGACTTTACTTTAAATGAAGTGATCCGTTGAGATTTTTAGGGATTTTCTGTGGTTGCATTAAGAAAGTATTTTGAATTTTAAATAGCTTCCCGGTATTAGTTAATTAACTATATTTAAACAATAATAAGACTGATGGAATCCATAAGGACTTTTCTTGAAATAAAAAAAAAAAACTGTAGTGATTGTTACTTTGATTGAAATAATTATGTTAACACAAATATTATCTTGGATGGTTTTAATGATTGTTAGCTTACGCATGAGCAAATAACGGGAATTGCAAGTCTTTAAATTGCCCTGGAATTCAACTGTCCAAGCGTAAAACTATTAAACTCATCTCTCAGTTTTACTGCAATGCAGGAATTAATTGTTAACTCAACCTCTCGAATGTTTATTCAAACTTCGATCAGCCAATAGCTTTACAGAGAGTTAAGTAATGTTGGATGAGGAAATAATTTTTTGTAGAATGCGTGAGCCTATCACTTTAATGGACAGTATGGAAATTAATCTAAAAAAAATCTCGGTATGATACCTATAAAACGTCTTTGATAGTTTGTGGAAACGTTTTGCGGCATTAATTTAGCTTAATTATTTGATGAAGAATAGAAATAATCAATTAGAACTTCGTTTTTAACATATTACTAAGATATCTGTTTTGATAGTTGCATTACCTTTCAATAATAGATATATCGTGAAACTGTAATATATCACAATAATCTATATATATAAAATCCAATGTATGTTTGTATATTTGTATATTTGTATGTTTGTATGTTTGTCCTTTATGGACTCCAAAACCGCTCGACAGATTGTAATGAAACTTTCAGGCATTATTAAGCATTATTCAAGGATGGTTTGTGTGAGGTTTGGTGCAGATCCGTCAAAAGGGCTCCGCCCCAGTGGCTCTGGAGTTTCCCATGTTAATCTTATGAGTACTCATATTTAAATGGAATTAAAGAATCTTAACAGCTGGTTCAACTAAACTATCTGATTCTGTGATGTTCAATAGCATTAAAAAGTTAATAGGTTTACCAACAGGGTGCAGCACTATATTTTTTTTAATTTATGAGAACAGCTAATTTGCAACCTCATGTCATGTTTAATTTGGTGAGTGAGCGTAGCGAACGAACTCCAACCTGGAGGCGAGTTAGCGTAGCGAACGAGCTAACCTGTAGGCAAGTGAGCGCAGCGAACGAGCTCCAACCTAAAGGTGAGTGAGCGTAGCGAACGAACTTCAACCAGGACGTGATTAAGCCATGCGAACGAGTTCATCTTGAAAATGTACGAGCATGTGACATAAAACCACAATAGGACAGGACTACGTCTGTCGGGCCAGCTAGTAAACTATGAAACAGACAGAACAGTAATATTACCTTAGTTAAAGCTTGCGGTTTCATATTAACTTGTTCTGGTTCAACATTTTTAAATGCACACTAAATAAAGAATGTAGGACTTAACATTACAACTAGTTAGCT